TAAAATCCCCCCCAATTCAGATCAGTAGATCGAGGTAGCAGCATCTTGGTTTACGAGCTTTTGGCACGGGACTCGTATGCTCGTTGTATGTACCAACTAGGGCCTCGTGTTTTCGATAGGAATGCAGATCAATGTCTTACTAAAACCATGACTCAGCTCTTGTTTTTTTGAAAAGTTTTGAAAAAGAATTTGCCTCGTATAATTTTTGTGTAAATTACCTTTGTGTATAAAATTTTTAAATTAATTATAAATGAGTTTAACTCAGTTTATCTTATAACTTTAAATATTTTGGCATTTTTCAATATATATATGATATTCTTTTTATTAAATTGATTTTCTGAATGTAGGTTTTCTTTTAAAGAAATATTTTATATTATAAGTGTTTTTACTTTCGTTGCAATTCTTTACTATAAATTTTGTTTCCGAACTCTTTTAGAACTAAGAGTGCCTAGGGAGGTGTGTTATACTGACAATGCAAGCGAAGGCTTTTGCTTTTTGGTAAATGCCTTTTCTATCTCACTTCAAGTCAATATTTCATTTTGACTTTTTAGCATGTGCAGTGTTTTTTTTTTTTTTTTTGGGTATGCATTCTTTTTTAAGTCTGATATGGTGGCATAGTTGCCGTAGGAATAATGCTAAGTGCTTTTGATTCTGTTTTGGCTTAGATCCCTGTTCTTGATATCTTGTTTGAATATCTTGGCATGGTTTCCATTTCATTTCATCCATGCATTGTGACTTTGCACGTTGCAACAAATAAGTCAGTCATTGGCTTAGTTGAGAATTAGATTTTTGAAAATACATCCATGATACGTTGCTTGTGACTTTTCAATTGCCTCATGAAAATTATTCATTGCAAATACAATTTCGTGAGTTCATTAAGAATTGAGATTTTTGAAAATGCATTCATGATTCGTGAATGGTGACTTCATATCAGTGATATCTCCTTTTTTTTTTTTTCTTTTTTTTTTTGATCAGCCATATCAGTGATATCACTTGCCAAAGAGACAATAGACAATTAGTTGTACATAAAAACCAAACCCAAGTGGACGCCCAACCACCATTATTTATTCAATCACTCCACCCAACTATTAGTTCAACACTCTTGTAGTTTGTAATCCTAAAGAAGCTACTACTTCAATTTCTATGATCCAATGGGCTCCCTGGCAGAAACCCAAAGCCAAATCCGTAGTGACACAGACAAAGATCAAGAACATTCCTCATATGCCATGCAGCTTGTTAACTTATCTGTGCTGCCCATGGCCCTTCACGCAGCAATTCAACTGGACATTTTTCAGATCATTGCAGAAGCTGGTGCAGATGCCAAGCTCTCACCACAAGAGATTGCTTCCCAGTTGGCCACTTGCAATCCAGATGCACCCATGATGCTGGACCGCATCCTCAGGCTCCTAGCCACCCACAGCGTGGTCACTTGCTCTGTTGATTTTGACAATCACGGTGATCCTCAGAGGCGATATGGTTTAGCACCTGTGTCCAAGTACTTCATCCGAAATGGAGATGGTGTTTCTTTAGGCCCCTTGCTGATGTTGATTCAGGACAAGGTCTTCTTAGATAGTTGGTATGTGACAATCAATTAATTCCCTTGTTTTATCTAATTCATTATTGTTTCTAAAATTGGTTTTCATTATTGTTACTCAGGTACCAATTGAAGGATGCAATTGTTGAAGGAGGAATTCCATTTAACAGGGTCCATGGAATGCACGCTTTTGAATACCCAGCTAGAGATTCCAGGTTCAATCAAGTTTTTAATGAAGCAATGATGAATCAAACCACCATGTTTATCAAGGAGATCCTTGAGTCCTACCAGGGTTTTGAGCATCTTAGGCGGTTGGTTGATGTTGGTGGGGGTCTTGGAGTCACCCTTAGCTTCATCACTGCCAAATATCGTTCCATCCAAGGAATTAATTTCGACTTGCCTCATGTTATTCAGCATGCTCCACCATACCCTGGTATACAACATCACAAGTATATATAAAAAAGTTCTTTTTATTTAATTTCACTCTTCCTGTGTAGGAATAGTATGCTGAAATATAGGCAGTGTTTGATTTAGTTGTTAGAGAACATTTGATAGTTGATAATGGATATCCAATAATGATATCAATAACCATCAACTTAGCTATTAGCTATTTTCTAACAACTAAACTAAACAATGTCATAGTAAGAATGAGATTAATATAAATTTTTACTTGCAGGTGTTGAACATGTAGGAGGGGATATGTTCGAAAGTGTTCCCAAGGGAGATGCCATTTTTATGAAGGTAAGTTGTGATTTTTTTCTTGGTACATATAAATAACGACATAGTAGTACATATCAAATTGTCCATCCACAAATTTAATTGCTTTTCTTGAATTGGAAATTCTTCAAAGGTGGGATTTGGGAAATTAATTTTGTAGTGGATACTTCATGACTGGAGCGATGATCAATGCGTGAAGCTGTTGAAGAATTGTTACAATGCTATACCAGATGATGGAAAAGTAATCATTGTGGATGCAATTGCTCCGGTTTTACCTGAGACAGACG